GTTTAACCTATTTGTAAGTAGACAACATATAACAAAGGGTATTTATACCTATAGAAGGAAATACAAATCTATAGATTGCCATTTACTTAGAGTGACTTTCCATCGAAACTAGCCTAGATTTATCAAAAGTGGTTTCAATTTTTAATCCTAAAAACAGCGAAGTTGATTGCACATTCTTGTCCAATTGTATGCGGCGTGGGATGGGTGGGAAGGAAGACTAGCACGAATGGTTCCTATGTTCCTTTCTAGTCCTTCCCCACTGCAAATTAATGCAGTGAAAATGGAGTAAATTAGCAAATTAAATTAAATTCGATAAGAATGGATCATGTGTTTTATGACTTCCAGTGGGGTTTGATCTTTGTAATTTCATCCTGATCTCCTTATCCAATATATTTGATGGTATTAACTCGATTAATTTTATCATTATCGTCATCATTGTCGTTACCATTATCATTAAGAACAAGAAAGGGGAACACGAGTTGTAGCCGTTTGTGTCACTCGGTGATGTTTACACCACATTTTGAATTCTCCTGCAAGCTATCACTCTATAGACCTGCGGCAACATAGAATCTATTTGTTTTTCGTGATGAAAAACAAAATGTTGTTTATGGTGAAGTCATCTATGCGTCGATCCTTCAATAGATTATTAGTTAGATTATTATTAAGAACCAAACAAAATGCGAACGTAACTCAGCCTATTATTTAGATTAGCATTTGCTCTAGTATTAATGTATAAATATCACTGACCGTTTAATTTTTGTTTTTTTCCTCGTAGGTTTCATGACCGCGCACTGCACCGCTGCATCTTTAGGTAGGGGAGATATTTTTAAACAAGTGTTATGATGATTTATTTTTTGCTATGGCTAACTTCTGTTTCTTTTTAGTTTCAGAAAATAAAGTCCTTTGCCACCCCTCCTCAGTTGACTCGTTGTCTACTTCAGCTGCCAAAGAGGATCACGTGTCCATGGGAGGATTTTCCGCCAGAAAAGCTCTTAACGTGGTTAAGAATGTGGAAAAAGGCGAGAACATGTTTTTTTTGTGTGTGTGTGTATGGATAGGAAAGGAAGCCTGATTGTCTTTTACGGCAGGGCGGTATTGTGGGAGCCAGAGAGCTATGTTATTGCGTATGCTGAAAGTTTAATGAAATAGGGTTATATAATCTATAGCACCCTCAGTGCAAGCATGGTATTGCTCCCATAATGCAGATTGATACAATTAACAGTTATGTGCTCGATCTTTGGGTGATAAATGAAGTTATTCCGGTGTTAAAGGAATTTATTTATTTCCTTTTTTTTTTTTCATATTTTGTCTGTTTCCATTGTTTTGCTGTTTTTTATTTATTTATTTTTTTTTTTTATCTCATTTAGTTGACAGGTGTAGCTAACGTTGACCAAATGTGGTTAACATTTGCCCCGACTAATGATCGTAGACTTTCAAAGTTAGAGAGCTCATATAAGCGAATGTTCGAACCGGTGGCTTTTGTGAAGTTTAATAAATGCTGTACGCGAAAAATTTCACAGCAGAGCAGCGGCATATTAGAAGAGAAACTTAGTACCTCCCTCTTAGCGTTTGTCCAGCTATCCCTTACATCTCCTGATATCACAACATGACTGTCGCTATTTAATTTGCCCATGTACTATAATCAACATCATAATTATTATTATTATTATTATTATTATTATTATCGTTATTGTTATTATAATTGTACCTCCCTCTTAGCGTTTGTCCAGCTATCCCTTACATCTCCTGATGTCACAACATGACTGTCGTTATTTCATTTGCCCATGTACTATAATAAACATCAGAATTATTACTCAAGGGCGTAGCCAGGGGGGTCATGGGGTGCCCGTGAACCCCCTTGGTAGGCCTTCTTTAGAGCAAACAACCTACAATATTCAGGTGGCGAAAACGCCACGACAATATCTTGCCCGTAAAAGCCATTTGTGATAATACGACTGAGCCCGTTGATACACGTGGGAGAGCAGCGGTGTAAATGGTGAGTAGCCTCTGTGACCCCCCCCCCC